GAACGACTGCTTCGGAAATGAGTCCAATTTGAAGTCTTTTTTTCAAAATTATTCCCAAGCTTAATGTTAAATTACCATAAATTACATGGTCAAGACAAAAGCGAAATTATTTCGGCACAAAATTTTATGATAGTGTTTTTCTTTTGAAGTGATCATGCAAGGACAGTAGTCTAAATGTAACTTTATATTTGTTGAGAAGTCATTAATGTTAAAGATTGATGGTAGAGCAGCTGGTAGCTGGAACCATTAAGATGAAAATGGTCATTCCACTAGTACAATTACCCATTCTTTACTCTAATAGACACCTACTAATACTAGTAATTACTTGATTGGTATTGACTAATTAGTCAGTTAAGCCTTGTCTGATTAGATAGAATATAATCTAGCAGACTTAGAATTTAACTTAAAATCATGAATATGATGTTTTCCCTTATGTATGATACCAGTTGCACTTGCCATGGAATTAGAATTTTCTAACTTGGGAGTATTTCACCTATGAGACAACAATCTAACTGACTACTGAGCTATTTAAGGTAAGGCATGATTACACCAAATGCCGAAGTGTGTCTTGAAAACTTGAATGGCAAAGCGATTATCAGTATATTGCTGCATTTTGTAGACCATTTTCCATTATTCAAAAATAAACTGATGTTTAAGACAAACCAATTTTAACTCTGAATCCTAAATTGCTCTATAGTATATATACTTCTTGATAGTAAACTTATTAAGACAAGTCTATCTTATGTCAGTCTTATTGATTGCTGTAATAGTACTTCAAGATTTGAACCCTTGGCGCCTAATTCCTGGAATTGCTCAAAGTAATTGATGAGTCTTGGTATATTAATAATATATATAGTATAAGATGAAGTGTATATTATATAAAGTGGTCAATATTTATAAGATTTAATTCCAGTCTCTGACGACATAGTGTGTTATTCCAGTCTGTATTATTTGATTCTGGAACTTAAATATTGATACCAATAAAATTATTGATATATCAATTCAGTCATAGATGAATCAGAAAACAGGAATTATATGATTCTTATAAATCTGGTGCCAAAGAGTTTAGATTGGTTGAAGAGTAACATTCGTTATTAGAATTGATGTTGAAAATTTCTGGATTATTAGTTCTGAAGAAAATAAAGACTGGTTGTAATTGCTTTGAACCGTTAAATGAAATAGAGTTTTCTATCCGAATTTTCTGATCAAAATTTGACGAATGAAGACAAAAGAAATTTAAAAGCAAACATTGTTTACATCATCAAATCTCAAACAAGAAGTTGATTTGGTTCAGATTTAGATATCATTGCAGTAGTATTTGTATAAGTTATATATTGATCTTTCTTTAAGATGAGCAGCCTGAACTCTTGCCACTTAATCTCTGAGATTAAACAAGATGGAACTAATTGATTCCTGGAGAATTGATGACCAACATTTCCAAATAAAACGGTCAATAAAATAGATTATCTCTGTCAGTTTGACCAACTGAAGGAGTTCCATATTAAAGAATAAATGAACATTAATTTATCCATTTAATTCTGCATTCAGTCCTAATTCTTTTTGATCTTGCCTACAAATCATTTAAGAGTTATAACTTTGGCAGTATGAAGTAGGTTTGATTCAATTTAACTATAGAAATATTCCAGCTCTTAGCATTGAATGACAGTTTCAAGTACCTTTCAATCACATTAGCAACCCTTTTCTAAAGTCAGTCATTAACTTTAGACTCGTTAGCTGACTAATTGCTGCATATTCATTCACTTCGCTCAGAGAATCCTTGATCAGTTTCTTGAACTGTTCACAATGAAAGCCTTTGTTTTAACTTGTCAAATGTGTTGAATTTTACACCCAAAATATGAACGTTTTCTAATACTTTAGATTCATTTGTGATTTGTTTTTATTTTAATTAACAAATCAAATCTATGGTAATTCTTTGCCAATGGAAGATGAAAATAGACTTAAGTATTCAGTTTGAATCATTAATTGCATATTCAAACATTTTCCAGGATTGATTTAGGACTCTTAGCCGTCATATTGAATTGAATCAAAAATTATCTCTGCTTATTTTAATTTTCTAAATTCATTGCAGGAAGCTTTGAAAATTCCAAGTCCAAGTATTTTACTTGCATATTCAATACTAGCACATTCATTGCTTGGACTTTTGAAGCACTTGACTCGCTTCTTGACCTGTCTTAAATTCTCTGTTATGTTTTGGCATGACTGAAGTAGACACAACTTAAGGCTTAGTGTGAGATCTTAAAGCAGCAAAAGTGATAGTTTGTTTCAGAATCTTTTAATATTTGATGAGTCAATTGTCTAAAAGCAATTTCATTCTCTAAAAGTCAGATATTCAAAATAGAAACAATAGGTTGCCAATGCTAATTTCTTCTCTTTTGAAGAGTTGTTCAGTTCAAATTAGCATCACCTCCCTTTGTTTAAAGTGAGCTTCTAACATCTTAAAGTCAGAGTAAAGTTGTCGATTAACACCAGAAACAATAGAAAAATTGATTGGAACTAATAAGGGTTAATCAGTGTGGAAGATAAAGGGTTAAAGTGTAATTATTGTTCTATTATTTCAATGTAATTAGAATTCAACTGTTAGTTTACCAGACATAAAATATTCTAATCAGCATCACATCCAGATGTTCATCCATTTCTTTCTGAAACCACTTGGATATGTGTGTAATAGTCCTGTAGTACAATCTTTAAATGTTTTCAATATCCAAAGCTGTCAAAATTTCAAGGCCAGGAACTTTATTACGAATTTCTAACCAAGTATTCAAATTTGTTAAAAAGAAATGTTCCATTTTGAAATAAAAAGAGATGCAAATTAATTTCAGTTAACGCATAAATGTTCCTTTTTTTTTACCTAAACATCATAAATATATTTTTGCCTTGTGATTAAGAATTTAAGAATGTTCCAGACATGTCTTAAAAAAAATGTAAATAGTATGTTTATTTGTTTTATCATTTTAAAAAGATCTTTAATCTGTGTAAAATTTGTTTATTTTGAGAATTAAAAAAAAAAGATTTAAAAACGTTATTTTGATTTGTTATTAGATATCAGCTTAACCTCAAGATAATACACTTGATGTTATGATTCAGGAGACAGGATCATTCTCAGGAAGATCAGGATACTGTTAATCTTTTAATCTGTTTCTTTGATCTTTTTTTCAAATTAATCATTTATTAATGATTGTTCTTCTGATCTTTAAATTGTAATCTGAACCTTTGTACATCCTTCCTTAACATAATATTGATTTAATTGATTTGAATTTTAGTAAAAAAATAAAAGATGTCCTCAGGCATCATGGAGAAGGAAGTGACTACACAATGGTCTGAGGTCTGAGAAAATCTGTATGTTTTTCTGATCCGAGAGACAAATGACTACTGCCCTTAGATACTTGCATTGAGATTCATCTTAATTAAACAAAAATTGAAGCAGAATAACTATGTTGAAAATACCTTGTCCTTGACATCAAAATCTCAATGAAAAAAACAGAAATATGTCAGCTTCATTTAGCACTTAGAGGTGGCATGAGAAACTTCAGTAATGGATGTCAGAAAAATGCCACCTATGCCATGAGAAGAAAATCTTCAGTGAATTGACTTGAAATTCTCATCCCAAAGTATTTTCATCCTGACTGTCTATCTTGTGAAACCTGTATCTCAGTTTTCAATATAACATCAAAAGATACTATTAGAAACTATTGTTACATAATAATTAATTGTCACATTAGAAACTATTGTACTGAAGGTGTTAAAAAGGTGAGAAAAGGTAAAAAGTGTTAAATAGACAACACAATGTACAAATACCATGAACACTAGAAAGTTATCAGTATTTGTGAAGTAATTAGTATATTTGCTTGGTGTAAAATATACATGAATTATCAGTTGATGGGTGAGGGTTGTAGTGGTAATATTAGGTCTGTGTTATTGATTTTGTGGGTCTGGACAGTCAGGTATGTTGTTTTTAGGGTCTGATTTGTTGATTTAGTGATATCATTAAAGCTAGTTGATTGACTTTTATTATCAAAACTAGATATCAAAGAACTAGAGAAGATATTGCTGTAAAAATAAATCGGAAATTCTTATACAAATTCTTGCCAAAATGTTGACTTTTTTTTAACTTTAATGTTTTTTGGATTTCAATTCAGCCATATTTATTGATGATCTCTGTTGTTGTTTTTATAGTATAGACATGTGTTTAATGACTTCCCCTCTTATATATTTCAGATTGCAGCCATTTCAAATCAGTGTATAAAAAACATTTGAACACCACACATCATAGAAATTTTTTTTTTTTTACAACTACGTACTCTTCTGAGAAGAAAGACTTGTATAATATCATACTAGCATTATGGAAATAGTTTTTTATGGATGTACATTATAATTGTTATGTTTTCGAGTGAATGTTATTTTGTGTAAGTGAAAGTATCTCTATAATTATGGCGTCTTTTAAAAGTTTGTGTGTGTTTCTCATATTTGTGTCTTCTGCCTTTGGACAGAAAATTGCTCTAACCTATAATTTACGTGAGAATCAAGAAAATGACACATTTGTAGGAAACGTGGCGCGTGACAGTTTATTATATGGAAATATCACAGAATCTGAGTTTCAAAGATTAAAATTTACATTTTTTACCCAAGGCAATCCGAATGCTAAACTATTTAAAATAGATGAAAAAAGTTCCACAATAAGAACAGCAACAATAATCGATCGGGAAGCCATTTGTATTTTACAAAAAACCTGTTCAGTTATACTAGATATAGCAATTTATATGCGTGATCCAGTTATCAATGATTATGACTTATATAGATTGATGAAAGTGAAAGTAGTGATAACTGATGTCAATGACAATTCACCAACATTTCCTCAATCAGTTATCAGTCTCAGTGTTCCAGAATCAGTACCAAAAGGACATGTTTTATTAACCAGTGGTGCCATTGATGAGGATATGGGTGAAAACAATTCCATTCAGTCTTACAATATGATTCCAAGCTCTGGACTCTTCAGTCTGAAAGTTGTAGAGAATTGGGATGGCAGTTCTGATTTAGGAATCGTAATTAAACATCCTTTAGATCGTGAAACACGGGACAGATTCCAGGTCAAGGTCATTGCTAAAGATGGTGGTTATCCAGTCAGAACTGGCTCAGTTATAATTGATATTACAGTCACAGATGTAAATGACAATCGTCCAGTCTTTTTAAACACTACCTACAATATATCAGTCTATGAAAACATCCCGTATAACAGAACTGTATTACAACTGGTAGCTATTGATACAGATGCAGGAAGTAACAGTGAACTGACATACAGATTTTCTTCAAGAGTCAACAACAAAATCAAAGAAGCCTTCAATATTGACTCCAAAACTGGTAGAATTTATGCTGTTGGTAAAATTAACTATGAAGAAACCAAACAGTATCAGTTCATGGTAGAAGCTGTAGATAGTGGTACCCCTCCCCTCTCTTCCCAAGCTTTAGTTACTATTGACATCAAGGATGAAAATGACAATGTTCCTCAAATCAACATCAATCTGACTCCAGAAGGAACAGATATTTCTGAAGCTGTAGATACCAAGAAGTTTGTAGCCCATGTTTCTGTATCTGATAAAGACGATGGTGATAATAAACATGTCGTATGTACCATGAGTGACTCTCATTTTATACTAGAGAACTTTTTTGATGATAGTTATAAAATTGTGCTGGGTAAGAAATTGGACTATGAAACTCAGACTAGTCATAATGTTACTGTAACCTGTAGAGATAATGGTCGTGTTCCATTAGAGAATTCATCATCATTTATAGTTCATGTTCTGGATGAAAATGATAATTTTCCAGAATTTAGTCAGACAGTGTATAAAGGGAGTATCATTGAGAACAATGCTATCAGTGAAGAAATTCTCCAGGTTTCAGCTCGAGATAAAGATAATGGGGAAAATGGCCGAGTTGGTTACTCTCTAGATAATCAAGCTTCTCAGTTCTTCTTCATCGACAGAGATTCAGGAATCATCACTGCTAAAGTCCGTCTGGATCGAGAGGATATCCCAGAATTCAAGTTTAATGTTATTGCTACAGATTATGGTAAACCACCAAAATCTCAATCTGTCAATGTGATTGTAACAGTTTTAGACCAGAATGACCAGCCACCAAAGTTCCAAAGGCCAGTCTTTTTCTGCTATGTAATGGAGAATTTAAATCCTGGTGCCTCTGCAGGCAATGTTACAGCCATTGATAAAGACTCTCCAGCTAATAGTGAATTTCTTTTTACAATACCTATCAACTCCTGGGCAAGAGACTATTTTGATATTCATCCACGAACTGGTGTGGTTACTACCAAGAAGAAGTTTGATAGAGAGTCAAATGATCATTATAATTTTGGGGTGAATGTTCGTGATCCTCAGGTTCCTGGTTTTTCTGACTCTGCCAATGTTACTGTGTATATATTAGATGATAATGACAATGTTCCAATCATAGAGTATCCAACCGCCCAAAACTTTACCACAGACATTGCCTTTGAGACACAAGTTGGAACTGTCATCACTACAGTGAGAGCTTTTGATAAAGATGAACCATCCAATGCTAAGGTCATCTATATGTTGAAGTCTGGTAACAATCGCCATCTATTCAATATGAATAGAATAACTGGGGATCTGTCTTTATCAAGAATAATTCGACCAGAAGATTCAGCTCTCTACAAACTGGAGATCATGGTGTCAGATAGTGGAAATCCACCTCTATCTTCCCGGACCAAATTCTATGTCAATGTGGCCAAATCTAATGGTACTGCTGCTGAATTAGAAGCTAGTGAACGAGATAAGAATATGTTGATTGTCGTCTGTTTGGTGGTTGTTACATTAGTTCTAGGTATTGCCATAGTAACCACAATATGTCTGATCAAGAGAATAGATCGTGAGCGGCAACAACGCACCATTTTGGGTAAAATTGAAGAAGAAAAGATGTACTCAGTAGTGAAAAAAGAAGAAAGTTTTTCGTCCAATGATTTGGATGATTTAAAGGAGAAGAAGACAAAAGAAGTTAATTTTAGTCTGGATAATGATAATGGACACAATACCAGTTCTTCATCTGGTTCTACATCCTTTTCTACATTTAAAGCTCATCCTATTCACAAGGTAGGTGTTTGCTCCAAATTTGATTTTGTCATGACAGCAATTTTCTATTTTTGAACTGGTTTGATTCCAGTCTTAACAAGCAGAGTAAGATCAAGAACAATAGAATAAAAAAAAATAATGTTTATCAACATTTATCAAAATCATTATCAAGATTTTAACACATATCACAATAATTCACTCAAATTTTATTTAAATTATAGAAGAATGATCAGAATGATTCAGGATTAAGTAATAACTCATCTCATAGTAACAGAATTTCTATTAATGATGAGCTGCCTCCACCACCCAGTCATTGGAATCACAAGAAAGAGGATGAGGTAATTATCAATATCATATACAGCATGTCATTTTTTCAAAATATCAAATTCTGCATGCCTTTTTTTCATATAACATTTTCTGCATATATTTATTTTCATTTTTAATATTAACCCATTGTAATTCTGTAATTCTTTTATTCAGTTTCATTGCAACTTTTTTCATCAACCCTTTTATAGCAATTTATTTTTTTAACTATTTTCTTGGTCATACTTATTTCTTTTATAAATTTCCTCTCATATTTCCTGAAATTCCTTCCAAATCTACTCAATATTTGACCTAAAAAAGATCCCTATCTTTCCATCTATTCCTTTCTCTTTTTCCTACAAGTTATGTTCCTATCGTGATGTGTTTGTGATACAACCTTATGATCGTCGTGATTCTTTACCCATGGCTCTTCAGGTAGATCTTTCATTTTTTACTAATGCTTCATGCCAGCAGATGGTAAACATAACTATTGCTAGAGGGATCTAAAGCTTTAAAAATACAAAGCTTATCACCCATAGCCTCTGTAAATATAAAGGTATTTATTTCCATGCAGGCTTTTTTTCTCATCAATTTTCTGTGACATTTGTATTTTAGCTAGCTTCAGGCATTCTAAGGTACTTGTTGAAAATGTCATTCTTATCTTCTGGCTTCCCTTCTTTTAATCAGTGTCATTTCTTAAGGTCACATACCTCTTATCAAAATCACATCTTCCTTGCAATCCTTCTTTTTGCTTTTTCTTTACCTTTTCCTTCTCTAAATAACCTCCATATCTGTTATAAGTTTTTTTATTAATCCATGTAATCTGAGTTAAATTTCTCCTAATCCACTATAATCTTTAGAATGTGTATCTATTCTATAATATTTGGTGAGTACTAGTTTACACAACCCCTTAATCCTCGGGATGTCAATAACATTTTATTAACAAGGGTAGGTATTTTGTTGCATGATACTCTTCCCTTTTTATTTGTGATCACAAATTTCTCAACTCTCTGCTTGCATGCATCCTCTCTCTATTATTTGGAACCCGCCAGATCCTGCTTTGTCCTGCAAGTTAATTAGCCAAATGCATGATGGCAGAACTTTACTAAGGCAATGGCAATAGCATCAAAATTTTGATGCATGTCTGTTGAACTTGAATCAGTCTGCATCTGCCAGCTTTGTCACTTTTTTCTATCTTGTATGATACACAATAGGTATTAAACATCACTTCATGTCTTATTCATTGAGTTTTTACCTTTTTCATGGACATGTATAGCGTTTTTTCTACTTGTGATTTTAGTGAACTGATAATTGTAATTTTTTCCAGCAATTTTTAACTGACTATCCGATCAAATTCTAACAACTAATTCTATTGTTTGTAGGCACGTAAATTAATGGAGATGTTGAAGCGGAATGAAGATGTAGTAAGTGAGTCATCAGGAGAAACTGGTACTAGTGATTCTGGGAGAGGTGGTAGTGATGAAGAAGTCAGCCATAGAGATCTAGGTAAGTTCAAATGCCCAGAAATTAAGTCTGTTTGGTTTGTTGCTAGAAACATCTTTACTGCAAATTCTCTGTCACAATATTAACCAATCCTTCCTTTTGTCTCAAGATGTTTGTTCCATAAAATAACAATAGGCCTATGTAAAAATCTTGTCTAAATATTTACAAAGTTCATGTCAACTAATTCCATCCTGAAGCATAGTTCGGAAGGTCAAAAGGTCAAGTCAAAAAATGTTATTTTCAAAAAGCAAAAAGTCTTTTCAATTACATTAGTTTATTAGTTTAGGTCAAAATGTGGTGTAAAATTAAGTTATGGACTAATTACGTCCAAAGGCCAAATATGAAAAAAAACGTTGTAAATGTCATGAAGAAAAAGTCAATAATCTGAATTATCATTAAAAGTTTCAACCAGGCTAGCTGTCAACTTGTGATAAGGTTAACAACCGTCAACAAGTGTGGTATCTCTAATCTCTAGTAGGCATATATCACAATATTTACTAGAGGAATGTTAAACACTATTCAATATTGCCCCCTTGATCTGTTATTCGCCTGCTAGGCATAGAATATGATAAGGAAACCTGTAGGGGTTTATCATCTAATCAACACACAATCTTAATTATTATTAACTGACACTTAATGATAAGATTTAGAAAGAGAATCCCTCATTTAGATCATATAGATAGTTAGAGCTCTGGGTACCTTAGGGTAATTTCTACAAGGTGGATGTTGGCCTTCATTTAACTCATATGTGCTAAAATTATTTCCTTTAAAATGCATTAAGCCTTATGTCCTGCCTGTAAAATTTGTAATTACACATTTGATATCATTCTTCAATGTTCATGCCAAAACTTTGAGAATAAATCTGCATAATTCCATGCATGTTGGAATTTTTTTATTATGAATTTCAAATCCATTTGAATTACTTTTGATTGAATATATTTTTGTCTATTTTCAGAAGAAACAACACCATACCATACAGTGAACCACTTTTACCCTAGCAACAGTTTTAATCGTTTTAATGATGGCCGCCAATCTAGCTTATCCATTCAATCACCACACAGCACCTTAAACAAACCTAATCCTTATAATTCTTTTAATAAAAGACCATCAGAACAGTTCCGACCAGAGATTCCCAGACAAAATTATTCTGATTCTAAAAACTATAGTTTAGTGCATCCAGCAGATTTTCATTCTGATGATAGTTTCCGAACTGGACATTCTAGTTACTGTGATGATGGAGGTTCAACTACATCAGGAAGTTACACTATTAATCCAGATGAACTACAGTCAGAAATAAACGCTCTCTTTTTAAATGATGTTGTAGTGTGAGACCAAGTATTTAAGATCACTGAGATCAGAATAAACTACTCTGGTGCCAAAAATGCCAACATTCTGAATGTGCCACATTCCGTAGTAAGATTCATCATCAGAATGTGCACTAATGTTTGTGAGGACCAGCAAATCTCTTGATATTGATCTGGGCTGATTTATCCAGAACCAGTATAATATAATAATGAGGTAGGATGACTTTTTCTAGGTTATATGACTTATGTAACTAAGGTCACCAAAAACCCAGCAGAGAAAAAGATCTATTTCTGTATTTGATTATATATTTTAAGGTATCAAAGTTATCTTACATGACTTTGAACATTGATACCGTTTCATGTTCATATTATTCTTGAAAGAGCATGACCCCTTTGCGACTTGAAACTTCCACAATCTGGAGATGTGTCCAAAAATGAGGGATATTTTTTATAAGTAGTGCTATTTTGTGGCTTGAGTCCAAGTTCCTTATTTCTGGAACTCAAGCATCTATTTGTTTATTGTTTTGTTAATGTTGTTTTTGAACTGAATTAATTTTAATGTAAAATTTTCACTCAAGTTATTAAAATGACAAATTTTGTAAGGTACAAAATCTAGAATTTATTGCAAGAATGTACATAAAACACAATTCATTGAGAGGGAGATGAAAAATCTACTTATCTGCTTTCTGATTGAGTTAATGTTGACCACGTGTATTGTTGAGAATCAGTTTGGTGTCCACTTTCATTGCTATTGCCTTGGTAATTCCTGGAGACATGCTCAAGTAGCATAAAAAATGTCTATATTGTTCATAGATACTTTTGACAAATACTCTAGTGCAGTTTCTGACTATATACAGTGAAGTTTACAATCCACAATGTTCTTATAAAACAAGGCTCTAGTGTATTGTATATATAACTATCTGTGATATTTTGATTCTGTGATATTTCCATGAAAGTGTGTGTATGATGTAAGTGTGTATTGTCAATATTCATGTAAATAAATTAATATACTTCATAATGGCACATTATTGTAAAATTGAATTTGCTATGGTTATTATGGCACATTGCACATTAGCAATGACACATATTGTACATTGTTTGACTATGCCATAATTAAATTGCCTAACGATACATCATTGTGAATTGTTTAACTGTATGTGCTGGGTTATATAAAATATGATATATGGCACATCAATATAAATTTAAAGATCACAATAACAATTTTTTGGATGATCACATCAAATGTAAAATTGCATTTCCATGTTGCCATTATTTCTTGAAATATTTCAAAATTGCACATAAATGTATATTTTTAATTGAATGTTCCATGATCATATCAAATCATGTAAAATAAGATTATTGTCAATATTATGGTGCTTTTTGATATTTATGTTTTGAAATCATGTCTGTTCTGATTAAAATATTGATTGCTTAACAATTTCTTTTCTGTGAAAATTAAATCTGTATATATGTGTCATGTGGAAAATTGTTTGTAAGTTTGTATTTGTGTTTCCCATAAATTGTCATACTGTATGAAATAAAATGTTTCATTAAATTTGTAGTTTGTAATTCATAGACACCTTA